ATATCAAGGAAGTTCTTCTCCAGCAAATCTTGGACAATTTTCTCAGTAGTTTTATTTTTCTCTTCCTGTTCTGGAATTCCAATGACACGTAGGTTATTCCTTTTGATGGTATCCCACATGAACCTTAGTCTTTCTTCATTTTGTTTTGATCTTTTTTCTGATTGATCCCTTTCCAAAGAAGTATTGAGGTATTTGTCTTCAGTCTCACGAATTCTGTCTTCCATTGATTCAATTCTACTCCTTTGCCTGTTCAATGTTTTATCTATTTCTGAAAGTTTAGGATTAATCTTCTGGATTTCTATCTGTAGATTTAGAATAATTTCTAATTTTTCATTTATTTTGTCATTTTTTTCTTGTATTGTCTTTAAAATTGTTCTAGGGTTTTGTCTTTATTTTCCTTAATTTTGTCAGTGTTTTCCTTGATCTGTCTCTTGTTTGTTGAAGGTACTTAAATATAATTGTTTTGAATTCCTTATCAGGGTGTTCCCGTGCTGCTGCTTCCTCAGGGATATGCTCTAGGTCTGTATATTGGTCCCTTACTGCTTTATCTTGCTTCTGTAATGGTCTGTCGTCTCCGAGATATTGTCACATTATCGTATTTATATTTAATTGGTGACTGTATGTTAGAGTGATTCGCCCAAGATTTTCATTGTGTTTTGTTTGAATGTATCTGAGTAAGTGAACAGATGCTCCTCTATTCGCTAATTAGCAGCACTTTTGCACTCACTACCTGTCTCATGGTAGGTGTGATAGTGAATGAGAGTGGGTGCACAGATCTTTGTTAGCTGTTTGTGAAGAGCAGTTAAGGGTGAGTCAGGCTCATTTGAGCTGTTGTATATTATTGGACCAGTTGGTGCAGAAGCATGTGGTGGCCCTCCTTCAGTAGGTGGGGCTGCAGGAGGTGTAAATATGGTTGGGTTTTATGGGCACAGTTGCTATCTCCCGCTCAGTTAGACAAAAACGGTAATAATAATAATAAAATGCAAAAAAGGTGAGAACAAGAGGCCAGAAAACACATACTGCATAAACACACAGGAATAATCACCAAAAAGAGAAAGAAAGAAAAAAAATGAAAGGTAATAAATGAGACAAAATCTTTAAAGAAATATTTTTAAAAGGCAAAATACATATAAATAGAAAAAGAGAAGCAAAACAAAAGCCCACAATATCTGTGAAGGGGGGAATAAGAGAAAAGAGCTATAAAGAAAGAGAATAATGAAGAAAAAAATGGGAAAAATGCAAAAAGAAAAACAAGGGATGGGAAGAACCACAGGAAAGAAGAAAATGGGAACCAGAAAAAGGGAAGAGAAGAAAATCCAAAAACTGGAACCTGGGAATGGAAGAAGAAAGAATAAAAATAAAAAGGAAGAGAAAATAATAATTTAATAACAAAAAAAAACTACTTGGGGTGGGGGTGCAGGGCAGGGCACCAAGGCTCCATCAGAACACACAGACTGGAACAGAATTCCTGCTGGCCTAGAAGGTGGGTTGAGGTGAGGGATAGCCATTCACCAAGAGGGTGTGAGAGTAACAACGGGAATATTATACCTTTTCAATTGTCAGCCTCTGGTATGTCCATACTGTCCTCGGCAAGCGTAGCCTATTCTTAGGTCCCTGGAATCTGAATGAGAGCGCTGTCGCTTTAAATATCCAAAATGGCACACTGCTTGTAAACCTTCAAAATGGCTGTGTCCTCTGGACAGGTGAAAATTCACAGCTCAGTTTGTCTCCTTCTTTGCTGTTTCCCTTTTTAGTCATCAGCCACCAGTGCAGTCATCCATGCAGCCCTTGGCAAGCAGGGCTGATTTTTAGGTTAATTCTCAAGTCCTAACACCACTTGGAAATAATCAAACTGTCCATGCTGTCAGGATAGCTGATAGTCCACAGCTCCATTTGTCTCCTTATTCACTGTTTTCATTCAGGTTCTTTCACTAGTTAGTGTTTAATCCACTTCTGTATCCTTCCTTTCAAAGCTCAGAGCTCCAGGATTATCTTCTGTATCTGTGTCAATTGTTTTTTCTTTTCTTTGTTGAAGAAAGTCTGTGTAGCTTGTCTTCCTAGTCCACCATCTTATCGGAAGTCTGAATAATACATTTTTAAGTTAAATTTACTTTTGGATGTTTGCCATTTTCAGTCAAGGCAGATTAAATAGGTATCAACTACTGATTATCTAAAATTTTCTTATGTAACTTTTTTTTTTTTGCTGTGTTTCATTTCTCAAGGGGATGAATTTTATTTGGTGGAGAAGACAGATCTTGTATCTCTAAGGAGATGGGGGAAGATGGGTGGAGGATAGAGCCTGTTTGTCAGCTCTTTCTTTCATCCTCAGGAGCATTGGCGCCAGCCCGAGCTGGAGCGGCGCTTCTCCCGGGTCCAGGAGGCTGTGCAAGTGCTACGGGGTCTCCGGGCCACATACCAACTCACCAAAGCCCGGCCCCGAGGTAAGACAGGTGCTCAGCACTAGGCCCTTGTGCAAAGAAGAGCCTGGCAAGGAAGAAAGGACAGGCTGGTGGGACAGACTTCAGAGTTGAAAGCACAGGGTGGGGAGGAAGAAGGATGGACACTTGACTTGGAACCCCCTTCCCCCACCCCAGTGCTGCTGCAGAGCTCAGACCCGGATGAGCGGGGCCTCTTTGAGTCCTTCCTGGAGCCCCTTGGCACCCTGAGCTACTGTGGAGCGGTGGGCCTCTTACCGCCGGGTACAGCAGCTCCCTCTAGCTGGGTCCAGGTTCCACTCAGTGACACCGTTCAGATCTTCATGGAGCTGCAGGTGACCAGAGCAGATTGGAGGGGAGGGAGGGAGGGACTGAAATGAAATATGGGTGTGTATGTGGGGGCTCTGTTAAGGTCAGGAGAGGACCTTAGAATGGGAAGGAGGGAGGTGTTGGGTGGCCTGCAGAGTCTGAGCCTTCTTTCATTCTTTTTCCCCAGGGCCTGGTGGATCCCCATACACATCTCTCTCTATTGGCTGCCCAAAGACACAAGTTGCAGAAACAGCTTGAGGGCCTTCTAGCTGCAGCCCCATCCCAAGGGGAGGCAGAGAGGCAGAGGCAGCAAAGGGTGAGGCTGGGCAAGGCTACCCAGGAAGTCCATGGCGCGGGCTCCTGAAGGAGTGTGGTTTGGGAGGAGGGCAGGCCTCATCCCTGGGTCCTCACTGTCTTCTCTCCTTGGCCAGCTTTCTTCCCTCCAAATGGAGCTGTTGAAATTAGACAAGGCGGACTCTCACCTGCGGCAGCTGATGGAAGACTCTCTCAGCTCCAGGAGCTCTGAGCTCTAGCTCTCACATCTTCCCTCCCAGACCTGCCTTTGTGGATAGATTTGTCAGCTTTGGAGTGCTGGCATCTCTGAGATTACTTGCTCCTTCCTCGTGTTGTGAATGAGGAAATGGGCTGGCTAGGTTGAGTGACCGTGGGTGCCTTTGAGAGGTTCACACTCTTGCCCAGCCATCTTGATGTCCACTGTGAAGTTTAGGAATGAGGAAATCCAGATAAACTTTAAAATCCAAAACAGATTTGCCTATGGTCATTTGTCCTCCTCTTCTCCTAGTGGTGACTTTTTTTTTTTTTTAATTTTTATTGTGATTTGGGTGAAAGTTTACAGAGCAAATTCGTTTTCCATACAGCAGTTCATACACATTTTGTTTCATGGCATTGACTGCAATTCCCCATAGTGTAACAGCTCTCTTTGCTGGTGACATTCTTGCCTCAGGTGTTCCCTGAGAGCTTGGTCTGGGAAAAGGGATACCTCTTAGCTTCAGGCTCTTGGGCTTCTGTGGAAGAGTGGGTGCTGGGATGTGCCTGACTCTCTGGGGGAGAGGTCCTTTCTAGTAACAGGGTAGGGCAGGGACACATATTTTCTGGACTTACTGATAATGCTTGGACTTCCATTGGCCCTCTTTTTCTGGCTTTACCCATATGGAAGCTTCTGTGCTCCTTGGCCCTATGCCCACAGGTGCTGAGAGGAGTAGGGACTTCCCCAGGGCCTGAGGGGCTGTGGGGTATGCCAGGGGTTGAGTGTCCCCCACCTCCTGTGCACCCAAGACCAAGGTGCCACAAGCTCTGACTGAGTTACTCAGATATACAGACAACCACCTTAGCCACCCATAGCACTGTCATCTGAGTGGAATTCAGGGACCTGGCCCTTTCACTTCCAAGTCACATTTTGTCTAGAAGCTCTGAGCAGCTACTAGTTATAAAGGGCCTATCATGGGCTGGGTCCTCCATTGGTCAGGTGTACAATGCCATTTAATCCTCCCAGGAACCTAATGGGTAGGTGTTAGCTCCATTTTGGAGATGAAATGTACTCAGGGAATGAAAGTCACTTGTCCAAGGTCTTAGCTGGGATTCAACCCAATAAATGGTACAAGCTCTTCCTGGTGTTGTAACAAACCTTCAAATACAAGGGTGGCTTAGACAAGATGGAATTTTCTTTTGCTGAGGGTAAGTAGTGTAAAACAAAAAAAAAAAACTCCAAAAAACCACTGCCATCAAGTCAGTTCTGACTCATAGCGACCCCCATTGGGTTTTCCCTGTTGGGATTTACCATTCAGCAAATCTTTACAGAAGTAGATTGCCTCATCCTCTGGTTAGCAGTCAAATGCCTCAGGCACTATACCAGCAGAGCTCCTTAAGTAGTGCAGGGCTCTTCAATAATGGGGAGCCTACACCCCTTTTAATCTTAATTTTCTCTCTTTCCAATAAACTTTTCCAACTCTGAGCCCAAGACCTGTAGCTCCTGCCATCATGTCCACATTCCATGAGAGGGAAAAAGAAAAGGAAGTGGGAAATTACCCTTTTTTCCCCTCCAAATTTGATAAATTTGATAAATTGGTAAGTTTTTGAGCACCAATTATGTGCTGGACTTTGTTCTGGAAACCTGGGTTTAACAGAGAATGAAGGATTTCTCCCCTTGGACTTTCATTCTAGCAGGGAGAGTCAGCAATAAACAACATACATAAGTAACTAAACTAGTATGTTTGAAGGTAATAAAGCTTAGTGGTGGGAGGAAAGTTGAGTAAGCCCAGGGGACTCTGGAGTGCATGTGTTGGGGGATAGGTAATAGTGTCAAGTATTCAGGGTAGAACTCATTGTAAAGATGAATTTAAGCAATGACTTGTAGGAGGTGCAGAAATTAGCCAAGTGGATGTCTGGGAGAAGAGTGTTCCAGGTGGAAGAGCTAGAGCAAAATTAAGGTGGGAACATTCTGGAATATTAAACAGTTCAAGGAGACCAGTGTGGTGGGGTAGAGAGTAAAGAGATTAGTGGGAGGTGAAATGGAGATAAAAGGGCAGAGTGAGGAATGGGGAAGGTTCAAAGTGGATAGTGGATCATCTAGGGGTATGCTGTCTAAAATGGTAGCTACTTGGCTATCTAAAATTTAAAGTATAAATTCAGTTCCTCATATTGGTCACATTTTGAGCATCCAATAGCCACATATGGCTGCTGGCTACCATAAAACATTTCTATCATCAGAAAATTCTATTAGAAAGCACTGGCCAAGACCTTGTAGGCCATTGTAAGGATTATAGATTTTTGTGCCGTCTGAAATGGGAGCTCCTTGCCTTTTGAGGGCATTACCAGGAAGTTGCACAGTTCCTTTCTACTTGCATCCCATTGGACAGAACCTAATCACATGGGCATACCGAACTGCAAAAACCAAAAACAAATTCACTGCCGTTGAGTTGGATCTGACTCATAGCGACCCCTCCTTGGGTTTCTGAGGTGGTATCTCTACAGAAGTAGATTGCCCAACCTTCCTTCCGAGGAGTGGCTGGTGGGTTTGAACCGCCAGCCTTCTGGTTAGCAGTCAAATGCCTTAGGCACTACTACACTACCAGAACTACAAAGGAAGCTGGGAAATACACTTTAGTTGGGTAGCTGTATGTTCAGCTAAAATTCACATGACTGAATTCAAAGTGTCTGCCACCCTCAGGTCTGGTGAACCCCAAAACATAATTTTCACTCCCCTGCCCTCTCTTGAGACTTGGGATTTTTTTTTTGTTGTTGTGTGTGTGTGTGTGTGTGTGGTGGGGACAATCAAAATCATACCCTGGTGATCCTAGGCTGAGGAGCAGTTAGCTGTGTGCTCCTCCACCCTCTTGGTGATTCAGACACCTGACCCATGGGTATCACCTGCCATTGGTGCAGGCTAGGAGCAAGTCATGGAGTACTGGTCTCTTCAGTTCCCAGCTGTCTCTCCTCAGGGCTAACTATACCAGAGCAATTGTAAAGGGAGCTGGAAGGAGTTTTGTATGTTTCTGTTTTCACTCTCCCACTTCCTATGGCCCCTTTTCTTTGGGTTCGCTCTGTAGTGAACTCTTGTCTTTTCCACCTTCCTCCAAAGAAGCCACTTTCTAATTTCATATGGTGGTGACAGGAGTTGGCATGTGGAGAATAGAAAGTAATCATATCTATACTGCTAAAGTCTGGGCCGCATGCTTCTATTTCAAGAGAGCCAGTGAGAAGTCTCAAACCTACCAGCCACTCCACAGAAGGAAGATGGGGCAATCTACTTCTGTAAAGATTTACAGCCTTGGAAACCCAGTGGGGGTTGCTATGAGTTGGAATTGACTCCATGGCAGTGAGCTTGAGCTTGGTGAGAAGTCAAGACAGTCTTGAGGAGGGGAGTCAGTTAAGTACTTGTCTTGGGGGAAAAAGTAAGAACCCTGAGCCTTGGGGGAACCCATAGAAACCACACTCACTGCCATCGAGTCGATTCTGACTCATAGCAACCCCCACTGGATTTCCAAGGCTGTAAATCTTATGGAAGCAGATTGCCCCATCTTTCTTCCACAGAGCAGCTGGTGGGTTTGAACCACTGACCTTTTGGTTAGCAGCCAAATGCCTTAACCACTACACAACCAAAGTCTTAGGTAAGGGGACTAGAACTTATAGGTTGGGACCAGATTTCCACCCTGATAACAAAACCACTAAGCATGTCCATTTACATGTGCCAGGCACTGTGGTATGTGCCCTGGGTAGTCTTTCCAACAATCTTATGAAGCAAGAGCTTTTATTCTCCTATTTTGCATATAAGAAATTGGAGTTCTGAGACAATGAGAAATTTGCCCAGACTCAAGATGGGGTCTGTGTGACTACACTTTCACATGGTTAGCCAGTGTGGGCACGGATGACAATCATTTCTCCCCACGATTGGAGCTGAGCTGGCTGTCCTCTCACAATGAGTTGTTGACTTGGTCTCATCTCTCACCTGGCTGCCTCCCACCCTACAACCCACCGCAATATACCTGCATGGATCCCTGGGTCAGGAGACCATGTCCTAGGGGTCTTCTCTCCACATCCCTGCCTGGAGTTCCTGAGTCACCAGCCCCAAAGCTCAAGCAAAGAGAGATGAAATGAAAATCGTGTTTAAGCCAAGACATGTGTCTGGGGGCTTGTGCTCACATTGGAGACCAACCTCTCCACTGTGAGTAGACCAGAGGCAAGTGACTTCATCTGTAAAATAGGATAATGATACCTATTACACTACATTTGTCCCTGGGTAGTGCAAATGGTTAATGCACTTGGCTGCTAACCAAAAGGTTGGTGATTTGACTTCACCCAGAAGTGCCTTGGAAGAAAGGTTTGGTAATCTACTGAAAAGATCAGCCACTCAAAACTCTGTGGAGCACAGTTCTATTCTGACACACACAAGTCTGCCATGAGTCTGAGTCTACTTGACGGCAACTGAGAAACAAATCCCCAAATCCCCACTACATTCAAGATTGCATTAGAATGGGAAAGCATCATGCCTTGCCACAAAATAGGAATTCAATCAGTGTTTCTTTTCTATTTCTATGTGTTTGGAAGCTCGCAAGTGTGCATGTGTGTTCAGTGTGTGTGTGTGGCCTCAGAGAATCAATTCCCAGATTCCTTCTAGGCCTCTGACACTGGTGTGGAGGGAGATAGCCTCTCTGCTCAAACTCTGAGGGGAGAGTCAGACTTGGGGTCTAACTCACTATTCTGTTGGCTTCATGCTAACAGGCAGAATTGACTCAGTTGACTCTTTGAATTCAGCATGTTTACTTCTGCTCCCCAGGGGAGAGCCAGCTGGAAGATAGGGCCAGGACACCCCCTACACACCAGGGGGCAAATGCCTGAGCCAAGAGGGGCACAGGACTTAACTGCTTTCAGACGTTGCAGGTGACATGCCATGGGGATCCTGCATGATGGAGGGTGATGTTGGTCCCTGGTGGGAGGTGAAGGAGGAGGCAGAGCTGGAGAAGACAGAGAGAGAGAGAGAGAGATATAGACCCCCGAGACAGCCAGACACCCACTGAGTGACCCAAACAGACTTAGAAACACACTCCAGAAACACACATGACACACTCGCAGAAACACAGCCCCATCCTTTCTCTACTCAAAAGACCTACCTTCTTGAGCAATCCCAGGAAGCTGGAGTCAGAGGAGGAATTTCCTGGAAGAGATTCCTTCAGTCTTAGTTGCAAAGTCATACTTGGCCCTAGGGACCAAAAGTATGACTGAAGACCCAGCAACTGGTGGTGCAGATGTTTCTCCTGCCCCATATCCCTCAACAGTCCCTCCTCCCTCCTCCCTGAAGCTTAGGTCTAGGGTGCCTCCATCTCTCTCAGTGACCAAAAAGTCCCACTCCTTTTCTCTGGCCTCTTCTTGCCAGGAGACCTGTGTCCAGCCCTGTGGCCCTCACCGGTTCCATATGAGCTGCTGAAGATGGTCAGGAAGAGGAAGAGGGGCAGTGCAGCCCCCATCATGGCCACCTTGTTTCTGGGATGACTGAAGAGATATCCAAAGCCCGGCTGGCCAGCCTGTCTTCCTACACCACATGTACTCCTTAGTGAAGAGATTTGGGGGAGATGGGAAGGGAAAGCTGGGTAACTGGATTTTCCAGTTCTCTCAGTATGGTTTCTAGGACTCTGGAGAGGGCCATTCACTGGGTTCTTGAGGAAAGTAGAGGGTGATTCTCTCCTTCCTCAACCCTGCACCTCACCCCCTCCTGGAGGCCCCTGGGTCTTCCCAAGAGGGAAGACTGGATGGGGAGTTGTTCCTCCTGCAGGTGTTTGGGCCCCACCCAGGCCTGGGCTTCTCGTTGCTCTTTAAGGATTAATTATTAACTGCCATTAATTTCTATCAATCATGCCACCGAAGGGCTCAGGAATGTGGGCCCAAAAGGGAGGGGTAGATTAGCCAAGTTTCTTCCCAAACCCAAGTGTCCCACTCCCCTTCAGCTACCATGACTTTTAGGTTAGGAATCTGAGTAATCGGGAACTTTAACCTTTGAATATTTTGTTTTAGTTACTCTAACACATCCTAGGGACTCAGGTGGAGGCATGACTTTCCATCAAATACTCCTCCCATCCCCTGCTTTGCGTACTCACACAAAAGGTACACCCACACTCCCAGTCAACACCCTTCCACACAGGTGTATGGAATTGACAAACACAGGACAGATTTGTAGAGTTCTAGAATGTAAAGGGAATTTGGTACCCATCTAGTTTATCATCTTTCTTTAAATACTAGGAAAGTAAACCCAGAGAAGGTAAGTAACTTGCTAAGGTCACACAGCAAGTCAGTAGCAGAGAGAACCTATCCCTTATCATGGCAGACACACAGGGCAGACTCGACAGACTGACACACAAGTCACATAAGCCCAACATGAATGAAGAGACACACATACAAGGAGGTGTGCCTTGCAACTTCCTATCTGCCTCTCTATGTCTCATTTTCATCCTCTCCCACCTCCCCAAGGAAAACTAGTAGGACCAAGCACACCTCACTTCTGGAATGGAGACAGAGCCTGAGATATTAGGCAGAACCTGGGATGAAGCCAAAAGCAAGACCAGGGAAATGGAGAGACAAAGACATAGCTCACACCATAAATGTAAAGTGAGACATCCAGAGCCTCCCAGACTCACTGCAAAGGAAGAAACTCACAGTGATGGGAATAAATGGACAAAAAGAGAAGCAGACACTGGAGGCAAGAGCAGGAGGGTCAAGTGGGGGCACAGAGATGCTTTGGGGCATCTGAATCTTCTTTAGAAGAGAGGGGGAGCACTTCCATCTCTTTCCAAGCTTGTGCCCCCTACTTTCTATATCATCCTGACACTGCTGTGTGCTGGGCACATTGAAAAACAAAAACACAAAACCAGCTGCCATGGAGTTGACTTTGACTATGGCAACCCCATGTGTGTCAGAGTAGAACTATGCTCCACAGGGTTTCCAATGGGTAGATTTCCAGAAGTAGATCACCAGGCTCTTCTTCCCAGGTGCCTCTGGGAGGACTTGAACCTCCAACTTTTCAGTTAGCAGCTGAGTGCATTAACTGTTTGCACCACCCAGGGACTTGGGTGGGCACATTACAGACATCATTTCCTTTACCACTTACAATCCTTTGAAGTAGGTACCAGATTATCCCCATTTTAAAGATGAAGAAACTAAGATTTAGATAGGTCAAGTGACTCACCTAGGATTTCACTGCCCAGAAGTGATGGAAAAGGGCTCTGAACCTTAACATGACATGTGCCTTGGTGCCCTCTTCTTCTCCCCTTGCTCCTTCCCCACCAAAGAAATGGAGAGCTTTGCGGGCTGCAGCAGTCCAGGCAAGAGCTCAGCTGTTCACCCTCTCACCCTGCCCTGGGGTCTAGGGTGGGAGGCACAGTCCCCAGTCCCTGATGGTCTTCCCCCTCCCATGCCCAGACCCCACAAATCCTGCTTCCTTAAGAGATGCATATGTACTGATCCCCCGTGGTTGTACTTCTAGAAGCAAGAAGAGGACCTTGGGGTAGGACACCTGGCTGTCCTTCCTTCAAGAAGGGTTTGGGCTGGGGGCAGACTTAGGCCTGGGGGATAAGTCCTCAGTCTGGGAAGAACCTGAAGGCCAGGTGGGGGAGTCCTTAGGCTGTTACTCACTGTCCCCCTTGCCCAGTGCTTCCTGGGATTAGGCTGGGACAGGTTAATCCCCTGGGGACAGTTTGATGACCTCTCCCTCAGGATGGAGATCCTGGTGTTGATGGAGGCCCTGGCACACCTGGCTCTCCTAAGACTTGTAATTGGCCTCAGAGCCTTTAAAGACCTAGGGAGATAGGATGGCCAAGGCATTATGATCAGCACCATGGGTGCTGCGCTGGTGATACTGCTGCTGGGCCTTCAGACCTTGGCTGGTCATGGTGAGTGCTGGGGCCCGAACCCGGGGTCTTGGGATGAGAATGTGGGCCCTGGACCAAGGAGTCAGCCAACACTTCTAATGTAACTTATCTTCTTTTTCCAACAGCTCAACTGACCTCATCAGGAGTCTCTGGGAGTGTCCCCACTGTCTCTGGGGACCTCTCTGCGGGTGTCCCCACTGTCTCTGGGGATCTCTTTGCAGGTGTCCCCACTGTCTCTGCCAGTCTCCCTACTGTCTCTGGGGATATTTCTGCCAGTCTCCCCACTGTCTCTGCCAGTCTCCCCACTGTCTCAGCCAGTCTCCC